CGAAGCTTCGTAGACTGACTTCAAACAGTGTGCTCCCCACCCAATTGAAGTTAGTATCGCTTGCGTTGTTGTTTGCCATAAGTTGCCCCCTTAGTGAACTCCAGAAAGCAAGCAGAGCACAAAAAGCGTCTGCGAAAAGATGGCTCACGTAATTGATTTGACTCGACTACCCCGAACGCGAAGGAAGTAAACTAGCCAGCGGCTTCCACCGTAATGAAGACGTTTCGAAAGGCCAACTAAAGTAAGTACAAACATTCAGCTGACTGCGTGAATAAGGAGCCATTCTTTGCGATCTGCGGTGGTGTGGTTATAAAGCACTGCAAGAAAGACCGAAGAAACGAGTATTTGTTGTGAAGGGTGTGCTGTTGGAGCCAACTTTTGGGTAAGAAGCTTTGCCTTCTTCAAGGAAGGAAGACATAAACGTCTATTTTTTCGAAACGGTGTATAGCGGTGTAGGTTCCGCGTCCACCTCAGGTGGGAGGTCTCCTCATTCCAGGAACCCTCTGGCCTTCGCTGCCTCCTTGGCCCTGGCGACGAAATGTCGTTGTTGGTCCATGTCCTTCAAAACGAGCTAGGCCTCCCACGTTTCAAGAAGGTGTTCGTTTTCTTTAAAAGCGTCGCAGGTATTCGGCGGAGGCGATACGTCTGATTTGTAGCGCATGGACACTCCAGGATCAGGTGGGCCAACGTGTCAGGTACGGCGCAAACCGGGCAAACATATTCATGTAATAATGGGTACAATCGGTGCATTAGTATACCGTGTGTGTACGTGTTGCTCCGCAGTCTTCTCAGTATGGTGCTGTCCTCTTTGTTGAGTTTCTCTTAAGATCTCTGCCTTAACGAAAAGCAGACCACCACTTGTCCTGATCCTTGGCTCCAACACGCACTGCCAAGGCCTCCTCTAATAAGATGCCTGACGAATAGCTTCTGTTTCCAGCGGAGTCGCCTTGCTTTTAGTTTTGAGCAACTGCCGCAAAGTGGCGCTCGCGAGAGACACTATTATCACGGCGTTTTTTTACTTGTGGCCCCTAGGGCCGCGTCACTCGAGGGTCATTGGAGATTTGCAACTATACACGACTAATTCGGAGGCTATGCAAAATGTCGAGTTGTTGAACCGCCCGCCACAGGTACACGAAAGATTAAGAATAATCAAAAATAAAGGAAGGAAAGGGTGTGGCAGCTGTTTTTGTTCTCATGCGGCAGGCATCTAAATAGAGGAGGCATTGGCGCTGTTCAAGAATGGCGGTATATTTAAGCCTACATCTAGTTCTCAACTTCTGCCTTGTTCTAGAAGCACTCCAGATAATGCTGATTGCGAGCAACTGGTGAACAATAACTATAACAGTATGTTACAGAAGTTATTCAGTATGCAAGCGTGGCGTAAGCTGATGTTACAGAAAGGCGCTGGCTAGAATAGAAACGTGAGCCGAAAATATTACGAGGTTGACCAAAGCAGTGACGGGTGTATGCAATAGAGCCAAGAGTTGAGTAAAAAGATAGGCAAACAGATCTGTTTCACATAGGACTTAAGCGGAAATGTTTTATCATCACATTCCGGAGCAGAGGAAGTTATTTTCACTGTGTTCACCACTAGTTTGTTGTGCGCAGTTTACAACTACCGGAAATGATTTCATGCATTAAAGAAACAAAACAAAAGTAAACACGTGGCTCTCTGGTGAGTCTGTGGTGACTATGTGGCGTGACACACTTGCCCCGCAAATGACCCGGCTTCGTTCCCCACTCAAGGAAGAAATTTTGTATCATTTACTTTATTTGCACCATTCCCGATTTTATGGTCACGCGGAAGATGATAATTTTTCATTCACGTACAAGCCGATGATTTTTCGCCCACAACCAATGACGCCGACACCGCAATTTCTGCGAAACGAGCCGTTTAACGCTATATCGGATTAAAACCAGACCTGCAAAGACGGCCATATTTAAGATGCATGAAAAAAAGTAGACGCCCAATGCTCACGTGTAGGAGTGGGAACGTCGTTATCTTTACTTTCATCAGCGTCGGGCCAAGTACTTCCCCATTTTCATTGTGTTATTGAGGGAATGACCACAGTACATCAGTGGTATTTGGGCGCCGTTAACTGAATATACAGAATATATAGATGCTATATCACAGACTTTTTAATGGTTATTATCGCGTTCTTACTGGACGCGGCACTCATGTTGGAGCCTAAGTATTTCCTTAAAAAATCGGCAGATCCCATGTACCTGGAAATCAACTTTCTGCGAAGCACGCGAAGGGAAGGTGACCATGTTGCATTTTTTTGAGCGACACGTCATGAAATGAGGCTAAATATATGTACAAATGTATGCACGCAGAGACATATGTTGAAGAGTTTCACATGTTTATATAACCAGCTTTCCACTTGCACAACGATGTCAGCTCGAAATGTGTTTTCGCAACACCAGAAGCAGATATGAAGCGCTGATGCTCGCGAAGATCTGGCCTTGACACTGCTACCTAAATGAATTCAGCACACGGCACCTCACCAAAATAGACGTTAACCCGACGTGACCGCTGTATAAAAGGAGTACATATGTAATGTTTACAAAATTGGATAGACAGCACTGCAACCACTATTGACGTTTCACGAAGATTAGCGTCTATTTGAAAAGTAGTTCCAAGACCTGGCGTAGCTCTGTGGTAGAATGCTTGACTGCCACGCAGAATGCTTGGGTTCGATTACTGCTGGGATCATGAAAAGTATTATTTGCATTCGTCGTGTGGCCAATGCTGCCTATGTCAGGTGTTTCTTAACACTGACATTTATTCTATGCCTTCATTGGGTCAACGCTACCGATGTAGCGTATTGCTTGACGCTCACGCGTTAAAATTTCTCGTTATTCCTGGGTAGATACCAAGTGTCAATCACGTGTGGAACATACCCGCTTACCAGTGGCACATACTCGCCTGTTAGTATATGCCACTGTCTGACGGGAAGTGTCTGACGACGTACGTGACGAGATTGTGACAATATTCGTGTCTTGACCAGTGCGTCATATTCGTCAAATCATCTTACCCTTCGATGCTAACTTTGATTCACGCCAAGTTAAAGGGGTAACCACGAGAGCACCCAAACGTACGCGGCTAGATAGATAGATAGATAGATAGATAGATAGATAGATAGATAGATAGATAGATAGATAGATACGCTCGAAGTCGCTGAAGTTCGCTGAGAAATGCTTGGCATTTAAAAAACACTTGAACATTTGGGACTGTGTACAAGGTAGTTGTTGTTATCTCATTTACAAACACCATCTCGACTGCACTGCACTACACTGTGTCTCATCAATCTGCACGCGATCGTGTTTATAGCTCTTTTCATTCAGTACTTAGCCACTTACTGCACACAATTGAGAAGCGCATGTTTCAGATCGGTATGCAGACATTTACCCAGAAGACACATGAATTTAAAATTTGCAAGTCCGCGTCATATCTATACGAGCTCATGTAAAAATCAGACATAAGGTTCAAATATGTATCCGCTTCAAGAATACTGACGACCAATAGTTTTCATACAATAGATACTGACGACAGCAGAAACTCGGTGAATATGCAATAATGTTCCCTATATGGTGATTTTATAAAAAGCTGCTTCAGGCACAGTAATACACGTATATTGAGATATTCACAAAGCGATAGTCTCACGTTAATCTCTTCCGACATATATCATTTCGGTAAGATTCCACAGCAAAAAATAGCCCCATTTCCATGAAAAATGAAGTTATTTTTTATAATTTTTTAAGTGGTTTCCTAATACTGGCCCTTCAAACAGCGCAGCTAGTGACAGCTCCCAATGATAAATAAGGGAATATATCGAAAGCGAACGACGAGCACAGCAGAATTACTGAGGAGTTACTGTCGCTATCTGCATCGCTTAAAGCACCCGCTGCGTGGCAGTGTAATAGAAACTGTCAAAGGGAAATTTATCGTCCTGGCTTCGGCTGCGGTTGTGTGAAACGCGCATCATGGTAGGGTGCCTGTTCACTGTGGCAATAAAAAAATAAACACTGGAAGACGCAGGCAGCTGGCTGGGTTTTGAAATAAGGCAACCTGCTTATCTCCCGAGCCACAAGGGGGGAGTGGGGTGTAGGTGTTGATGTTGGAACTGTATAGGGCACATTTTGCAATACACATAATTTTTGTAGTGTGAGAGGAGTTGCTCGCTTATTCATACTGCGATCTTTTTTGTTGCTCGTCGCTTTTTTCATGATTGCATTCAATCCATTTTGAACAGCTGGTAACAATTCAGAAAGGATATAAGTAAAAATTATTTTCGATTTTCATTGATACTTGGAAAATGGAGTGGCATACAGAAAGAATTCGTTCGAACTCATGACTCCCTATGAAATGCTGATTACATATCCTGCACTGGTCAAATTTTTACTACAGCTATGGTCACGTTGCATACGTTCTCCAGTTGTCCGTTTTACTCTCTCAAGTGACGATGTAAACTAATGTTACATTGCGGCTTTATTTTTCATCGCAGTAGCAATTTAATGTTTTGTTATCATGAATGTTTTTTAAGACTGAAATACATGTCTTATTAGTCAAGTAATCAAGATTTCGCAAGACCTGATGACGCATTGCGAGACCTTGTCAGTGGCGTAGGCGTCAAGAAGCATTAAAAACTAATAAGAATTGGTCAATAGTCAAGTGATACTCAAGTGAATATACGCGTGTGCTGTTAACGTACCAATAGATCCAAGGCCGAAATGTAACATTACGCTATAATGGCATCAGCCCGTGACATCGCAGATCACCAGAATTTTTAGCAATCAATTCGACTATTTTATTGCACTTGAACCAAACAGAGGACCGATGCACGACCTGATAGCGCTGTGTTCGTATCGTTCTGTCATCCTCTGTTTGGTATAACACGTGCGCTCAAATAATAATCATATGTAATATCATTAACAAGAGATATAAGTTTTAGCATTAGCGACTTACGATGGATTTCATGGTCTGCATCCTTCAACAGCACAGGCATGCCCTCTGAGCATCAAGAACGCCAGGGGCGCCACGATCAAGGAGACAGCCGGCCCTTACGCTGAAGGAGACACCATACAGTTGACCTGCGAAGTAGAAACGTGTAAGTATCTATCAGTAATGTGAAGCTCGATACTAAACAATGCCTTTGTTTGATGAATTTGCTGGTGGGCAAGGAAGTCTATGTATTAGTGCCTGCTTTGTACAGGTAGAACGTGTTTTATCTCGTGGTTATTCCACTTCAGTGCATCAATTGCGGCGGAATGTATCCAGGCTTATTGCATCGAAGGTGTGTAGCTGTACAAAGTGCTGGGAAGTACATTTGCCTACATTTCTGCTCTTTAATTCCTACAAAACGTAGGCCAGAGTTTGAATGATGTGACTAAATTACTGGAATAAACCACTCTGCCAAAAAGGGTGACTCAGATATTTTTAACACAGTAAAAAAAGTTGCTAACGATGAACTATAATAGAAACGAACCAGTCCGCGAACTTTCTAACTGGTGGTTTATGTCACTAAAGAAAAGTTATGGGAAGTGCTTTCCAGGTTGTCCCATGTAACCACCACCATTGCCGTGATTTTCTGTATGTCTAGATGTATTCAAGATGCACGATTCTTCCTGCCGTTGTTGTTGTTTTCATCTGTATATTGTTTTCATCTAGATGAACAGCTTAGTGTGATCATCGCCCTGCCGCGGTGGTCTAGTGGATAAGGTACTCGGCTGCTGACCCGCAGGGCGCGAGTTGAAATCCAGGCTGCGGCGGCTGCATTTCCGATGGAGGCGGAAATGTTGTAGGCCCGTGTGCTCAGATTTGGGTGCACGTTAAAGAACCCCAAGTGGTCTAAATTTCCGGAGTCCTCCACTACAGCGTCTCTCATAATCATATAGTGGTTTTGGGACGTTAAATCCCACATATCAATCAATTAGTGTGATCATCACTTCACGTGATTTTTTTCAGGTGACCACGACGTGACGCTCACGTGGTACCACAACGGCACGCAGCTGAGGTCATCGCGCGGTACCATGGCGACGTCGGACGGCGGCTGGAAGAACGTCGCCACTCTGGGTCCACTGACTCGTCGGGATCTGCTCTCGAACGTAACTTGCCTGGCGACCAGCAATGTCTCGCTGCCGGGAGTCGCCACAGTGCTCCTCGACTTATACCGTGAGTATTGTTCATGTAGAACGGCATACCGGATGCTTCTCTTTCAGATAGCCTTCCGGTCTGTCTCAATTGTTTCCATTTCTCGCCTCATATGAAGCGAGATCTATATATCCCCAAGAGTTCTACAGCAGTTTTCACATTTAGAAGCGTGTTGTATAAATATTTTCATGGTGTGCACTGTCTCTAATAAACCAAAGCACCAAAAAGGCTACAATGTCAGAGTCGCAACACTAACTCGGCAACACAAAAGGTTATATCAAAATTTTGCCAAAGGTTCAGGAATGTGCTTGTTGGTGGTGATATATCGCAAAACTTGAGGCGAACGAAATAGACACTAAGAAAGATGACAGGACGATGCGCGGTTTCAATCAAACTTCAAGCCGAAATCAGGCTTTCAAGTCAACAATAACGACGTGATTTACACCTCTCATACAATTTCTGTTCATTTGTGGTGTTGTGCGAAACTTTGGCTAAAAGCATCACAACCTTCACCTAAGCTGTAATTATGTACTTCTTCTCTATGTAGATGCTCTGTCGCGATGACATTTGGAAAATTGGAGCTTAGATAACAGCTATGTCTTGTATATGTACTCAGCTAAATATTCATAAATAGTTTAACCACAGTGCACAAATGTCCCTACAAATCTTTATGAACTCTGAGACCAGTAAACCGACACTCAATTCGGTATACGATGACCAGCATTCGTAAACCTATATCAGATGCGTCCATTTTCATTCGCATGTGTCCTGCAGTGCTGCTTCCGTTATAGCATTTCTGCTTTTTGACATGAATATAGGTAAGGGCAATTATAATGACCCAAAATTCGTTCAAACTATTAATTTCATACTATAGCTGTGACAGACTAATTAGCGCTCGACAACTAGTCAGAAACAGTTACTTAGCCACAGATGCAGCCCCACATCAGGCGTAGTCTAGAAGGATAAAGTGTTGTGTGAGTTCGTATTCCGTTGTGAATAATATGTGCGTAAAAACACGAAGGGCAGAAGCGACGAGTCAAACGCAGTCTTTCGCACAATCCACTCTATCTGATACGACGTATCAGCATCTGTACAAGCGGTCATTATGATGACTTGGTCAATGTCAATCAGAGTCTGAGGAAGAGGGGCACCGATCAAAACGCAACATCTCGTTCGGTCAGCTTTCGATGGGCTTATGCTAAGCAGATTGCCAGAAAAGTTTGGTGTTTGCATTACGTCTGCGGTTATTGTTGTTCGAAGTTTGTCAGGTGGAGCTATCAGTACAGAGATTATTGGGTCGCACGTCTATAGGAAAACCAGTGCGGCCAGAACAACCTTGAACGTGAGAAGCATTCCGAGGCACAGTAAATCGACTCAGATACGTCTTTTTCAATGTTGTATATCCCCCCCCCCCCTTACTGTTCTACATCACGGGATTCACGACGAATAGGACACTAAAAGCTCGCGCATAGCCGAAGCGGAAGAGGTCAAACATCAGCTTAGAGAAGAAGCCCTCTCTCTCCTCCCCCCTGAAATCATCGTGAAAGATATCATACTATCAGAAAAATTCATCTCAAAACTTAATATTGTTACCAACAAATGGAACACTTCTCGGCAAAGACTATTTATTAAGGGCAAACTTGTGCCCGAGAACTTAATAAGGCAACCTTACACACAAAATGTTCCTCACAAGCAAGCCACACGAGCGTCTTCGACCACTTCTTCTCTCCCGCGGCCGTGAACTGGACACAATACCAGCCGTTAGTCTTCTTCAAGCACGTGGTGTACATGGTGGCACGCGCAGACCACCGGTGCATTGCGCGCTTTGTTTGTTATTTCTTTGGTGACAATTACAAATGCAGGAAGCAGGGTGCGTCGACGGAGGAGGATGAGCAACTTGTGGCAATGTATAAAACTATTATTTGAGCCCCATTTACACGTGACGTAGGTTATATATTGCAATGTTTTCCTGAAAATGTGCACTGAAAATAGGAGCTTTCCAACAATAGTCGACGCCTTCATCAAGGTGAAAAAAATTTCGGGATACAGGCCTGACAAGAGGGCTCTGTGTTTGGGTCTATAAAGGTATGGATGCATCCCATAAGGTAGAACGAAAGACCCCTTATAACTGCTCCGGCTGTTGCTCCCCGACATCGCCATACTGCAGAACTGGCTAGTAGATTGTTCGTAATGAGTGCAGTAGTGAGTAAATCTTCTGGATAAGCTCACCCTTAAAAGAATATTTTTCTTTTAAGAATGATATTGCATCGTGTGTGGTAATGCCCCTCTAAGTCGAGGTCTGTCTTATTATTTATTTATTTATTTCAAAATACTGCCAATCCCTCAAAGGGATTATTACAGGGGTGGGAGTTGATTTATACATGAATGTACAGAAGTAATGCGGAGAGCATATTATGCGCTCTGTAATAAATAGACATATACACGTATAAACGAAAAGACACACTCTAAATTTACACACAGCAAGAGATTAAAACAAGCATACTACATCCATATCACAATAACAATAACCAGAGTGACATGTGTCTGTGTCACACAGCTCTCTCCACGAGTTCAGAGAATAATTCTAGCGTAGGCTGAGTAACAGTAATTTCATCTAAGGCATTCCAGTCTCTTACAACTCGTGGAAAAAAAGAGAAGCGAAATACATTATTAGTAGGACGAAATTCTTCTAACGTGAATTTGTGTTTGTGTCGCGTTTCTCTGGCAGAGCTGTATATAACAAATGACCTGGGGTTGATCTTAAAATTATTTTTTAACAACAAATATAGGAATTTCAATCTGTGCACTCTCGCTCGGTTAGACAAGGTAGTGAGACCAGCCTGCCGAAGAAGTTCTGTTGGGGAATCGCTACGCCTGTAGCGATTGAAAATAAAACGGACAGCTTTCCTTTGTACGCGCTCAAGCGCAGCGATGTTGTATTTAGTGTGTGGAAACCACGTAATACTGGCGTATTCCAATGTCGGTCGGATAAGACTGGTGTAGGCAAGAGAACGTGTTTCAAAGGTAGATCCGGCAAGCGATCGTTTGAGAAAGAACAATTTATTCATTGCTTTTTTAGAAATTTGCTGCACATGCGCATTCCAGCTTAGGTCACTGCTTATCGTTACACCCAGATATTTGTACTGTGAAACATTTCGTAGTGGGGTGCCGTTGATACTGTAAGGAAAGGTAAGTGTTGATTTTTTGTTAGTAATGTTCATGTAGACTGTCTTTTCTGCATTTAACACCATTTGCCAGTCTGAGCACCATTGAGACACTTTGTACAGAGAATTACTAAGTTTTGTTTGGTCATCTTCAGTTTTGATTGTGTGGTACAGTACACAGTCATCTGCAAATAATCTAATGTTTACGTCGACGTGCTTAGTAATATCGTTTATATATAGTAAGAATAGCATCGGGGCTAATACAGAACCCTGCGGTACACCAGATAGAACGGGAACAGTATCAGATACATGGGCATTGTACTGTACGTACTGATAACGGTCTGAAAGATAATCTTCAATCCAACGTGTGAGTGGTCCTTCGCCTAATAGACATCTTAGTTTATAGTTAAGCTTCAGGTGGGAAACCCGGTCGAAAGCCTTTGAAAAGTCCATAAATATTACATCTGTTTGTAGTTGGCTGTTAACATCTTTGGCAAAGTCATGAAGCGTTTCTACTAATTGAGTAACAGTCGACAGGCCACTGCGGAACCCATGCTGATTGGAGTGTAATATGTTGTGACTTTCGACAAACTCTGTTAAATATTTCAGGATGATATGTTCCAGTATTTTGCAAGATGTGCATGTCAGAGATATGGGCCTGTAGTTAGCAGGGGAAAACGTATCACCTGATTTATGCACGGGTATTATCTTTGCTAATTTCCAGTCAGCTGGAAGATGACCAACGCGAAGTGACTTTAAATATATTAGCTGAAGGAATTTGCTTACAGGCTCAGCGTACCGCTTTAAAAAGGCATTTGGAATGTCATCTGGACCAGTGCTTTTCTTTTCGTCGAGGTTTAGCAAGAGGGATAATACACCCGCCTGCGATATGAAGGGGGTATCTAATGGTGTATCTACGCCACTTGGTCTGAACTGGTCGCGTTGAAGTAGGCCATTATCAGCGGTGAAAACAGACTGAAAGTAGCTGTTGAAATGATCGGCTGTCTGTTTTCCTCCCGGGGTAGGCGTATAGGCTTTGTTAGTATGTTTCACACTTATGTATCGCCAGAACTTATGAGGCGCTGTTTTGATAAAACTGTGTAAAGAGTGACTGAGAAAGCGCTTTTTTGCCAAATTCACTTGTTTCTTAAGGGACCTAGCTAGTGCAGGGATTTCCGACGCAATACAACTGCGTGGGTGAACTTTCTGAGCTTTTCTGAGCCTTTTTAGTTTACGCTTCATATGAATTATGTCGCGCGTGATCCATGGATTGTGCTTTTTGATGCTTTTTGTAACTGTTGGAACAAAGTTGTCTATGCAGTGCCTGACAATATTACTGAATGTTGACCATATCATATTTACCGTTGAGTGTTCATTTGAGTAGAGGTCCAAAAAGTTGGAAAATTCGAGAGCAAGGTATGTCATGAAGGCAGCGTCGTCCGCTCTTTTAAAAGCAGGTACCCGTTTTGTTGTAGCTTTCGTATGAATAGCGCTTGGATATTGCAAACAACACGAGACTATTTTATGATCAGATAGGCCTTCTAATGTTTCTACGTTAATAGGATATTTTAAAAAGTGATCACTTACAAAAAAAGATCTAGAATAGAAGCGAAAGAGCCTTGATTACGTGTAGGAACTGTAACAACTTGTGTGAGGTTAAATGTGAACATGATATCAGCAAGCACGTTGCCAGTCTTCGTCGCCAGATTCAGCGAGTCCCATTTCACTTCAGGCAGGTTAAAATCACCTGCTACAATGATTTTTTTACCGCGAAGAGCGTGCGTATGCATATAATCGTACAGTGCTTCTAAAAATGAAACTTCAGCATCAGGTGGTCTGTAAACGACGCCAATGTAG